GAGTGAAGCTACTAAGCTAAGCTTCGGTATAAGCGATTTGCCGCTTCCGCCTTGATTAGTGAAACTCTCTCAAATGTAGGAGTTGGATCCATTAGGTTCTTCGATTTATTCATAAAAGAAACGAGAGACAAGAAAACATCTTTTATTACGATTAAAAGGAACAATCTAAAATAAACCAAGATCAAATTTCGGGTCATTTCTTGGTGAACATGATCCGCCATAATCTCTTCGATCCCTTCATTTATGTGCCAGAATAGAGAGAGAATTGGTAGGAAAGTGGAAGATAGTTTGACTTTGATGTATATGATAATCAAAGGGAGTGGGAAAGCTGCAGTAATTCTTTGGAAAAGCCCGGTTCTCCTTGTCTTCGAGCTTTCATTCCTCAATCCACTGATTCGTTCCTTCATATACCTCCCCACCAATAGATAGAGACAAATGGGAATAACCGAACCACGTCTACAAAATGCCAGTACCATGCAGCTGCTTCAAAGCCAACGTGATGCTCCTTGGTCAGATGACCAAGATATTGGCGAATACCACATATGATCGAGAAAAGAGTACCTATAATCACATGAAAACCATGAAAGCCAGTTGCTAAGAAAAAGGTAGAAACCATAAATACTATCCGAAATAGTGAAGGGTGCTTGATAATATTCCATTCCTTGAAAGCCGGTGAATACTAGAGCCAGTGAAACGGTAGCTACTAAAGCGTAAACTGCTCGTTTTTCCTTCCCCGCGAGTATAGCATGATGAGCCCAAGTTACGGCAGCTCCGGATGAAGGGGGAATAAGGGTATTAAGAAAAGGGATCTCCCAGGGGTCTAAAACCGCAATCCCCTTTGGTGGCCAAATACCTCCGATCTCTACCGTAGGTGCCAAAGAAGAATGAGAAGAAGCCCGAAAAAGAGCAAAAAAGAACATAACCTCCGATACGATAAACAGAATAAAACCATATCGAGGTCCTAATTGTACGACTTTGGTATGATGTCCTTCGAACGTGGATTCGCGTAGAACATCGCGCCACCATACGAACATGGTATATAGGATAAATAGGAGGCCCAAACTGAGAAGTGTTGCACCCCCTTGAAATGAGTGCATGTACATCACACCTCCTACGGTTGTTGCCAAAGCTCCGAGTGAACCCGAAATAGGCCATGGACTTGGATTCTACCAAATGATAAGAATGCCTCTGAGATTCAATCATAAACCACTTTGCCTCGGTTGTATGTAAACCACCCCTTCACCCCCACCCCCTAAAGTAGTAAAGAAGGGCTCTTTGGGGTCTCATTTTATTTATATCTGACAGGACAAACAAATAGGAAGGGATGGTTCTTTCATTGCATTGATAGAAGTCTAACTAGAAAAAGATCTGTCTATTACTTTTAGAAGAGAATCGTTGGTTTGACCGACGAACTACGTGGGAAAATGGACCTTCTTTCTTTGATTTGAAGCAAGATTTTTGTAAAGTAAAAATGAAGTATGAAGTGGCAACGCTTTATAGTAGAGGCCACCCTACCGCGAAAGAACAAGCAAGGGATTTAGCTAGCGTCTCAAGCCCTCTCCTTTTCAGTCGAGTCACTTTGTACCTCTCGCTTTGCTCGATCCGCACGTTGCGCGTTAGCGCATCCGTTTTCTTGCTCTTTCGGAAAACTTTATGGTAGTTCTACCGCCAGCGGCCTAAACTCAAAGGCGCAGGTTGCTCTCTCTGGTTGAGGCTGCATTCATTTATTCATATTCAACTTTACACGTGGAAAAGGCTTACTCTCCTAGTGGCTCGGCTTGGTCTCCGCTCCCTTCCCGCACTATTACTCCCCACTCAAAAGAGCGATTGAGAATCTCGAGAACCTTTATGAACGGCGGGGAAAGGAGTCTTTTTTTCTTTGATCCCCGTCATAATGAGATTAAAAACCGATTCTTCCTTGGCCGTGTGGAACATGGATTAGCATTATGTAATTCCTACAAGTGATCCCCCACCCAGGATGATTGGTGCTCTCTGAGGTATTTTTTATAATATATAATATGTTTCTTTCCATTCCTCGTGAGCCACTTATTTCTCCGAAACAAGAGATGAAAGTGATTTTACTTCTTTTTCCCAATAAGTCGACGGCCTTACACCATTGGGATACTTCGAATAAACTGGAGTACATATAGGATACACCGGTGCTAAAACCCTTTCTCAAGATATCTTCCAAGCTGTTGGGGTCGTTGCTCTGGATCTTGTTCTCCCGGTGTGAAACCAGTTGGTTCCGTAGTTTTAGAATTCTGCTGATCCCAAGTACTCCATCTCCATCATTGCATATGGCAATATAGAAAGTAAAGAGGAAAAGGCATGACCAGAAGAATTGTGTGAAATAAGTGAATTGATCTAGTTGAGGCATGATTGATTCAGTGATGTGACTTCTCCTGCTCCAGTCAATCAGTCTGGAGACTTGCTAATTCAATGAAATCGCCTTGGTTTTTCCAAGGAAAAATACCGCCAAGAAAACTTGCATGTATTAAGCATCTAGCCTAACTAGCATGATTGAGCCCTGCAGTGGTAGAACCTGGTGAACCGGGCTATTTGACTCTTTCTTTACGCTATTTCGTCTTTCTATAGAATACGAAGAGAGGACCTTCTTTCGGGCTGTCTACGAACCCTTCTTCTCGTATGCAATTTTCTATTCTTTCTTTGATCTGAAAATGTTGAGTTACTTGAGTAAAAACATCTGCTACGCTCGATATGCAGACGATTGACTCTTTGCTATCAAACCAGGCTTTAAAGAAGCAGGGGCTGGCTGGATAGGATCTCTTGCATGAAAGGCTTTCCCTTCGATCATCATATAACCAAACTGCATCGATCCGATAATTTTATAATACCTTTTTTTATCCTCTCCTACGGCGGATCTGTGGCCATGAATGAAAGTTCCTTCTTTTGACCCTCAATTTGAACATTGAAGAGTAAATATAAGATGCAATCAATAGATTGAAGCTGTGAGCGAATCTGTTTAAGGTACAGATGAAGAAGACGGTGCTATATCATATGTTTCGGTAGTAGTAGCTGTGATATCTTAGATATTATGAAAGGGAAAGGCTGCTTTCCTTCCTTCCAATTTATATTGGCACTTGAATCGGGATTGCCTTGGTTTTCATTCTACTCAAGTGAGCGACTCCGCTCTTCTCTCTTTCTACTTCCTTCTTCCCAGACCGGGATTCCTATAATATAAGGGTAAGCCCAGGAATATAGGAAGTGTGCCGTGAGTGGTAGCAGTTTTGTAAGGGCATGGCTTATGGCAGGGAGTGACCCGATAGCTCTTGTTGAGTCGACTGTGAACGCATGGTTAGCTCTTAAAAAGAATAGCTCTTATTCATCTTTTACCCTTCCTTATTCCTTTCCTTGAACATTGATCACGCATTTCTCTACGCCGACCTACCTTTCTTATGCAATTTAGAGTTTGCTCGGCAAAAAAGGGTTCTTTCAAACACCGTCTACTCTACACACCAACAAAGACCTATAGCGTCTTCTCTGTGCTTGGAATTAGTACATAGAGCGGCTATGAGTAGGAGCTTTAAGCCTACCCGCAGTTGATGGTCTTGTTGGAATATGCGCTGTTCTCGACTCCGATGCTATTTCATCCGTTTTCGATTGTTTAAGTCCTTACCGGGCGAAAGGCATAAAAGAATGAATAGCAGGCGCAAGCTCAAGGCGAGACAGAACAAAGAGTACAGTAAGCGATCGAAAGCTGGATTCACAGGCAAACCAGACTGACTTACCACAGACAGTAGGGCAGATCCTTTATTTTATAAAAGGTTTGAAGACGCCCCTATCAAGTAAAGGCATAGGGAGAGGAAGATAAAAAGAAAGAAATACGCCATCCAAGCGCAAGGCTTTTCTTTTTCGTCGAGTGTTCAGTGAAAGGATTAGGTTTGTGTATCGCCGATTGAAACATGAATTACAAAGAACTGAAATGGTGAATAAGAAAGATTTCCGAAAGATCGTAGCGAAGAGAGCTCTCACAGGCCTTGATCCCGCAGCCACTTTCGGAGACGCGTCAGGACTAACTGGACCACAAGGTTCAGTTTATCATCTCGAACCAGCAAATCCTGGTCCAATCTGTTGGATAGCCCAGGACAGCACCTCCTGAGTCTATGCTTGCAACTCGAGCCGTGGCACTTATTCTCATCTCTCAGCCCGAAGCTTTCCGTCCCTTTTTGAGTTGAAGCTAACTTATAAGTGTAAAGGCCCCCTCATTCAAAACCTCAAGGCGGTAGAACCCGCTTTGACCCAGCCACCAAGTAAGTCGAAAGACCTCGTTTTTGGTTGTGAGCTTTCCATATTGCCATTATTTATGTTATTTCGGGTATAAATGCCTTTCTTACTGGTGTTTCAGGCACTATCTACAGACTATCGAAAACAACAAAAGGATCTGGGCCTAGAGAAAAGATGCCGATGCCTTGGAAGCAATCTCTTGATCTAATGTTTTGCTTTGACTTTGCCTTTGTGGGGTTCAGGGATTGAGTTAGGAAGCCATGACGAATCTGTCGGCAGTGTGTTCCACCTATGAGAAGGTTGGTGTCAGAATTCGAGAGACGGATTATTGCTTAGCGCGCAGCAGGATACTTGACGGATGTGGCCAAAAGTCTTTTGAAAGTGCAGACGGTTTATGAGAAAGAAATGCTTTAGTGAAACCTTGGACTAGAAGGCGCGCTTTATAACGCTCCAAAGACCAATGCTGAATCTTGTCAATCCACTTCAAACCCACTCCTTTTTTGCTTGGAATTCGCCAAAGTGAAAGTATGAGTAGGAAGCAATGCATGAAATTCAATTCATCCATCTGCCATAGCCCCAACTGGGGATGCCTAATAAGAAATCTATAAATCGAAAAATAAGTGAGTTCAGTTTCAGGCACAGACCGTTCAGAATTCACTTTGCCTCCCTTCCTTCTAACGATCGAACTGGAGTCTGAGCTCCTGAAAGAAGGATGCCTCATGTTCCTTCCTCTCTTCCTAGCAGCGAGGTAAACGCTCTTTCTCGATCAGGAGAAAAGCCTACGGCGGTATATCCGAAAGCGCGTCCTCGAAATTCCCCCAAGGAAAATCAAAGTCTTAGTCTCGGGGGGACCAATAAAGAACCAAAGCTTGAATGAAGGTAACGTTCGCTCTTCAAGATTTTTCTACCGCTTCAGCGATCCAGTTTTTCTCCATAAAGGTCCCATAGGGAGATCTCTAGACTGATGCTAGATCTTTGAAGTCATCGCTAGCCTTCTCTTCTTCCTTTATAGAAAGAAAAAAGAAAGACAGCGCGGTAACAAAATAAATTCGAACTGTGTTTTCAGGGCCAAAAGTAACTTCACTTTTGGTTCCCGTCCGCGCTCACTATTTAAGTGAAGATCAGATACTGAAAAAGGCAAATTATAGAAGACCCTAAAAGGGAAATTGGATAGAATCGTATTTTTTGAGCCCAGATAAGAGATAGGAAGTCAGCCGGTGGCACCTCTAAGATGCCTCTCAAGTTGCCATTAGGGGCTTTTACTTTTGCTTGTTATTCCCTTTTATAGTTATATAGACCAATATAAGATATAAGAGCTAATCGGGAACGAAATCGGGCAGTACCCAGTTGCAAGTAATACGGATAAGACCTCTTTCCACCCGATAAGACCCTTCCCCCGAGAGGAGAGTACTCATTGGAAAAGAAGGCCCGTAGCTGGATAGTCTCACTAGGCACTAGAGTAGAGGAGCGGAAGCCACTCGACTGATAAGGAGAGGAGCGGGTACCGGTTCAAATGCCTCGGTATCAGCTTTATGGTGCTGGCGGATAGACAAGTGAAGCTACTATGGGTTCGTCGGGCTTTGATCCCATTCCGAAGGGTTCTGCGCATTGAGCGAGCAGTTAGTTCCGGTCTTTGTTCGCTCGAGGTCTTTCTGATGGCTGCGCTCAGCCTAATGTTATCTACGTTGACCCCTGTCCCGCAGCTGTGGAATTCTCTCCGCACTAGAGGAAAGGAGAAGGACGGGACTGCTTTTTGTTTTGAAGTCTTCGTTACTCGTCGAGCTCTTTTTTAGCTTTTTTGTGTGTGATTGTCTATTTGAAGATCATATTGGAAACCTGGGATATGCCCATAGGGAAACCTAGATTATTAACATGTTTGGCAGGAACGTACCTATCGTCATATCTGAGGGGACCCTATCTCCGGTCTCAGCAAGCTATGGGATATAACAAGGAATGCACCTTCCTCTTTGGAGGCAGGGTCAGTCATTCTGCTTTGGTTCTGCTGTGAACCACAACTAACATGACTTCACCAATATGGCCCCTATTCTTTTTATTTTTTTCACTCCTGAAGTCATCTAACTGGGACAGATGTCCTTTGCAAGCCCTCTCTAACTACAGCCACAAATATAGCTACAGGCTACTCCAAAATCATAAGCTAATCCCAAGTATGCAAATCGCTTCTCCTTGCTTTATTAGTTACTTCACTAAAGGAGCTATCTCATACCTTGAGGATAAGGAGACGAGTTAGATCTTATAAGGATAGTCCCTGGTTCTAGCTACCAAACCCTTTCTTTGCCTTTACTCCCACATAAAATGCTGCTTGCGTGCTTACCCCAAAGCCTTATAACAGCAGGCTTTACTACAGGCAATTACTAAACTCCAAGCTGCTAACCAAACCAAGCTACTCAAATAGAACAAGGAGCTCCACTAAGAAGAGGTATTTTCACTGCTGCTCCCATCCAGGCTATATAACTCGGAAATCGGGATCGGGAAGAAGAGCATGCAGCCATGAGACTAGTTTCCCATTGTCCCGAAGTAGAATGGCCACCTAAAGCGAGCTTGTATGCGCATTTCATTCTTCTATCTTTGAAGTTGCTGTAACGGATTAAGCGTTAGAACGCCCGAATGTCTCCTCTCATTGAGTAGCTTATACTACTGATTCAGTTAAGGCAAATAGCCCATATAATCCCTCCTGTTGGTCAATCCCACCTTGCGACCTTCATCCCCCTTCGAATGAACTCCCCTAATGTCTTTAGAGCAGCATATCTCTAGCTGATTTATAGTGAAGGGAGCCCTCATTCTAGCGAACGATCCTTGCCTACTTCCTTTCCAACTACCTTAGCCTCATCTCGGGAAGGGGATTGGTTTGATGTGCCTAAATTCAATAAGGGGTCTCGCCAGCTGACCTGATGCTGTTGTTGCTGCTGTGAACGGATTTCTTGCTTTGCAGCATCAAAATAGGAGATCTTTTGGTCTCCTACGTGACTTAGTTGAAGAGCTTCGGTATATAGTAAGCCTACTCTTCATTATAAATTGATTTCACTTTCCCCTCTCCTTATCAGTCGAGTCTAGTATCTTCTCCCCTCTCCTTCTCTCCTTTCAGTCGAGTCTATTCTAACCTCTCTATGGTGAAAGTTCCGAGAATCACTCCTAGTTCCACAGTCGATGACTCTTTTACAGTTCGGCTCAGTCCAGTATTCCTCCTCTTTGGAGACGAGTGGCTTCCACACTCCTTCCTTTCTGGGTCTATCGCTT